CCATGACCTTGCTACACTCACTTTTTAAAAATAAATTCTTTGGGATTTTCTACCTAGAAAATTATACCATCTGTAAACAGAGACATTTATATCTTCCTTTCTGATCTACATACCTTGACTTCCTTTTCTGGACTTATTACATGTACTAGGACCACCCATATAATGTTGGACAGTAGTGGGAACAGACCTTCTTGCCTTGATCCTGAACTTAGAGGGAAAGCATTTAAGTCTTCCGTTATTCAGTATGATATTAGCTCTCAGATTTTCATAAATGCCCTTTATACCATCAAGGAAGTTCTTTTAGTTCCTAGTTTGCTTAGTGTTTTTAATCATAAAGAGGATGTTGAGTTCTGCTACTTACTTCTCACATATCTATACAAAAGATTTATTTCCATGTTCATAAATGAACTAATTAATTAAGGATAACAATATTTACTAAGTTTTATGACTGCAGCACAACTTTCAAAGGCAGCCATATCATTTATATCCTTTGTACTTTTGACAAAGCACCTAATGATGTTATCTATGACTTCTGATATCGACAATAATAGCAGCAGTTACATGGAATTTCAGACTCACCTATGTTAAAAACGAAGTTAAAATAAAAATTTGGAAAAAGAAAACATCAATTAATTAAGGGTAAGTTCATGTCTGGTACCAACAGGTCTCATACTCATTTTTTACTTGTCCTGCTTTCTCAAAACTTTTGTCTTTCTCCCCTGGCAAACAGGGCTAGATATGAAATTTCCAACCTATTTAGTTTGTGTGAGAAAATGAAAATACTGTTTTCTTTTAGTCTCACATTTTCATTTTTCTGTTCAAAGAAAATGTTTAAATCTCTTATCTCAATGAGTGGCACTAATGATTTTATTCAACTCAGAAAGCCTTTAACTCTCAACTTTACATCTAAATCACATTGAACTTACCCCTCCAGTTAATCCCCTTCTTCAAGCTCCATGCCAACCGTTGCCTAGTTCAAGCCCTCATCGTGTTTCCTTGTTTTACCTCGAAGGTCACTTTACTAGGTTTTTGTTTTTGTTTTTCGGTTATAGCTGATCTCCAGGCTTTCAACTGAATCCTGAGAATGAAGTTATTTCTCAGCCTTAAACGATTCAATGCCCAGTCCCGATGCCTTCAGAGTAACATCACATACCTTTTCTCTGCTTATAAGGCCCACTGTGCATGATCATGTATCTTTAAGCCCCATATCTTCCCAGTGTTCCCCCTTGGAAAGAAAATAGCAGTGCATTGAGCATTGCACCTTCAGGGGTACAAATTTCCCATATAGGGAAAAGGGATATTTGTTGTTCTGAAGCCATTACTCTTCTGAATGAGAAAATCAAAAAGAGCTCTTCATGCAGAAAATAGTCTTTACAACGTCATGTGAGGATTAGCCTCAACCCTAAAAATAGACGTAGGAGGCAAGAAGACCAATTACCCAATTACTGTTTCATTAATAAGTCAGAGATTAATTAGCAGGTCTCTAAACTTGCAACTATCTGTAAACTCTTATTGCTAATGTTGCTGCCCTCCTCCTTATCCCCATTACCACAATAGTTCAATGCTCTAGTTTCTCAGCCTCAGCACTATTTGACATTTTGGGCCAGGTAATTCTTTGTTGTGGAGGGCTGTTTCATGTATTGTAGGATGTTCAGCAGCATCCCTGACCTCCCTCCCTAGATGTCAGCAGCATCCCGCCCCCCACAACTGTGACGACCAAAAATGTCTCCAGACATTGCCAAATGTCCACTGGGAAGCAAGATCACCTTGGATGGAGAGTCACTGCTCTAAGTAAAATGACATTGTTGTGTGCTTAAGATGACGGCAGGAAGTTTTGGAGAAGGAAACTCTAAGGAAACTCAGTCAATGCAGACCGATTCCCAGGGATTATGGCTAACAGAATAAGGAAGACAGAGAAAGCCAGCCTGGGCCCTGCAGGGTTATGATCACAGCAAGCAGTGAAAGGTACATGTGATGTGTACAGCAACTTCGACACAGCCATGAAAAATCATTACACTTCCCTGGATGCATTCTGAGTTTACAACCTCATCTCTTTGTGCGTAATTTTTCTCTCCATGAAATATCCTATGTCATCTTCACGCGATTGTATAAGGCTTACGGGCAGAACGGGAAGTGGAGATGATACACATCAGAGATGGTGGGTAAAACAGCAGGCAGTTTTTTACAATGCATATATAATTTTTTATAAGCCAGTATCATCTTTGCTTTTTAACTAAGCAACTTCTGTTATGTATCTCTATAAATTCACTGAACTGTCAGATTCTCTCTTCTTCTGTTGGACCCCTAAAATAAAATTTTATTTGAGGGTATGCTTTCGATGTAAACAAATATTTCTTCTATTTCCATTTCAGGTTCTAGAAATGCTAAAAGTATACATAATTAATGCATTTGTCTTTAACCTGTTTTCAGAGAGGTTAACAATCTATGAATGGATATATATGCTCATTCCTTGCTGAAAACATACACACACACATATAAAAAATTCTGGTCTAGAGTATTAATATATTGAATATACAAAACAGTATGTTCCATTGATTTAAAGTAAATACATACACACACATTCCAACTGAAAAAAAAAATGATTAAAATTTGAAATTAAGGAGAAGGGGCAGAGCAAGATGCTAGAATAGAAACCTCCAGAAATGGTCCCTCTGAACAAACACCAAATTCAACAACTATACATGCAAGGAGTCACCTTCAGAAGAACCAAAAATCAGGTGAGTGATCTAAGTACCTGGTTTTAACATAATGTGAAGGAAAGAGGCACTGAAGAGGACAGAAAAGACAGTCTTGCGTTGCCTACGCCACCGTTCCCCGATCCCCTGGCAGTAAGGCACCAGTGCGCCACGTAGAGAGAGAATCTGCGTGTGCGAGGGAGGGAGAGTGAAGTGATTGTGGGACTTTGCATTGAAACTCAGGGCTGCCCTGTCACAGGGGAACTCAGCACAGGGCAGAATTCTGCTGGTGCCCTCAGAGGGAGCATTTAGACCAGACCGTCCAGAGGGAAATCCTCCAACCCAAAACCCATCTGGCCCCACCACTGGCCGACAAAAAGCGTTCTGGGGCCTGGAATACATTGTTGAGGCAGTAAGGGCACAAAGGCTGCAGTCCTTGGGCAATTCCTGCAGCTGTGCTGGCTCAGAGCCTGTGGACTTGGGGTGCACGTGACCCAGTGAGACACCAGCCGTGGGGCCCAAGCTAGTTCCTGTGTCACCCCTCCCCCAACTCCAGGCAGTGCAGCTCAGGGACAATCCTCTTCCACTTGGGGAAAGGAAAGGGAGGAGTTCAGAGGACTTGGTGTTGCAACTTGGGTACCAGCTCAGTCATAGTAAAATAAGGTACCAAGCAGATTCCCAAAGCCCCTGAGTCCAGGCCTCAGTCCCTGGATGGCATTTCTAGACCCACCCTGGGCCGGAAGGAAACAGGCAGCCCTGAAGACAAGGACCCAGTCCTGGCAGTATTCACCACCTGCTGACTAAAGAGCCCTTGGGCTTTGATCAGAGGTAGCCAGGCTACAGTCACCAGGGCTTTGGGTGAGACTGGGCTGACTTCAAGTGTGACCTGGCACAGTCCCAGCTACGGTGGCCACGAGAGAGCACGCACGTCACTCCTCTCCCAACTCCAGCAGCCCAGCACAGAGAGCGAGGAAAGAGAGTGAGAGACTTTGCCTGGTCGTCCAGCGAGTTCTCCCACATCTTACCCAAGTCCACTATGGTGGTACCACCGGGAGTCTGCAAGAGTCACAGCATTACTGGGCTTGGGACACGCCCAAGTGCTGATACATCTGCAGTGACCAAAGACTTAGATCACAACACTCAATTCCCTTTGAATACCTGGAAAGCCGTCTGAAGAAGAATGGGTTCAAATAAGCCCAGACTGTGAAGATTAAAATAAATACCTAACTCTTCAATGCCCAGACATTGATGTACCTCTACAAGCATCAAGAACATCCAAGAAGACATGACCTCACCAAACAAACTAAATAAGGTACCAGTGACCAATCCTGGAGCGGCCTAACAGTACGAAATTCACACAAATTATGAATTATTCTGTATAGCACTGAAGCTTTCCTATGTGGATAATGGCATGTAGAAATTTTGGAATGCTGAAATGTGCTTATGAACTAATCACATTGCAACGCCCACTGGTTTATTTCTCTCAGAATCTTACCAGGGTTTGCCATCATAGCTTTGTACTTCACAGAGGAACTTATTTGTTGACTGACTAAAAGAATATTTCAGACCTTACTTGTGAGTTTCCACAATAGAAGGCTGATTAATTATTATGTGACAAAAACATGGTGCTTAAGTGATGGTACTTTTCTCAAACATGTTTACAACACATTGTGAGCACTTACTGTCTCCCCGGCAGAGTAGAGGCCCCAGTTTATAAGCTGCTTCTGAATGTGGTCGGCCTGTGTCTGTAATCACTATCTTAGTTACTGGCAGATGTTCTTTATAAGAGAGTAATCCAGTGTCATTGGTCCTAAAAAACAGTAACAACAAAAAGATTCTTAAAATTATTGATAGTTCTTACTGCATTTCAAAACCAAGACGTTCTGAACTGAATTTGCACACACAAAAGAATAATCATCCAATTGCTCATTACAGTGCGCAAAAACATGGTAACATTTTAACATCCCTGGTAGAAAATATACAATAGAGAATATAAAATACAACATATGTTAAAATTAGAATATAGGTGGAGATGTTTTAACTCAGTTGACCATTTTCTACCTTTTGACTGGAATAGTTGGTTAATGTGTTAACATTTAGTGTAATGATTCGTACTGTGGTTTTAGGTCTACAATTATGCTATTTGTTTCTTTTTTTCCCCATATGATTTCTTGTACTTCTGCTCCTTCTTTGCTGCCTCCTCTTGGTTTATTCCATTTTTTTCATATTTAATTTTAATTTCTCCATTCACTCATTAGTTATACCTTTGTTTATTGTATCTTAATCTTTGCTTTATAGATTATGAAATGCATCCTTAATTTATCACGGTGTACTTAGATTTTATGTTATAACAATATAAAATGTCAGAAACTTGCTATGGGATAATTTATTTAATACCACCCCCCATAAACACATACATACTTGTTATTTGTGCTATTGTTGTAATATTTTAAATCCATATGTTAAAAACTTTATAATTAAACAGTAAATTTTATTTTTTAATTAAGGAAAGACTTTAAACACTATCTTTTATATTTACCAACATATTTACAATTTCCAGCAATATTTATTTCTTCCTGAAGATCTGAGCATTCATCTGGGATTATTTCTCTTTAGCCTGAAGAATTTGTTAACAGTTTTCATTTCAGATATACTTTACTATTCTGAAGTTCACATTTGGTTGTCTGCTTAAAATACCCTCTGTTTACACATTGTGATTATTTTTACCTTTAAGTCTTTAAGCATGTTTATAATAGGTGCTTCAAAGTTTTCGCCTGCTAATTCAGAAACAGTAGTGCCCCAGGATTTGTTTGTAATAACTGCTTTTAATTTCTTGACTTTAGATCAGAGTTTATTCTTTTTTGGAATGTTCAGTAATTGTTATAATATGCTAAATAATATAGATAATATATTGTGAAGATTTGGGACTTTGTTGTTCTCTGATAATTTCCTTTTTATTTTCACAGACAGTTAAATCGCAACGTTATCACGATAAATTGTGTATGCTTAGTTTTGTATCAGTAGGGTGGGCCTGTGTCAGTTTTGCTCTTAGTTTTCATCCAATCCCTCGGTTCTGGGACACGGCCTTTGCTGTAAACACATGGATCTTCTGTCATGCAAAGCTTAGCTCAATTAGTGATTCTTAAACTCCAAATTCTGTCTCCCCTCTGGTAGTGGACACTGAAATCTCTGTATAGCTTGTTCAGTTTTCCAGCTGTACCTCTCTGCTTGGCGTCTAGAAATCTTCCCTTTGCATGTGCAGTTCAAGGGTCAGCTGAGGATCTAAGGAAAGTTTATATAGCGGACTCACCCTAGGTGGCTTGTCTTTACTGGGAATTCCCTTTCTCCTTCAATGTCCAGTTATTCTAGCATCTCCAAACTCTGTCCTCTGTTACCTTAAACCAAAAAAAATCTAGTATTCCCTTTGAGTTCTAGGCATCCCATGGCAGGTGACCTACATCCTCAAGGGAAAAAGGGTATTAATATACTTTGCCTCACCCATTTGGGTTCCCTTCTTTCAGGGGTTAAAGGCCCCTAAACCTGGCGGTTTCCATCTATATTTTATTACTCTCCACTTACTTCAAGTAGCTGTTTTTATAATATTTTCCTGGGTTTACAAACATTTTCTGAAAAGGGTTAGTTCTATGCAAGCTACTTCACCATAAGCAGAATTTAATATGAGAAGTTTCAAAATCTTATTTTTTAACTTATTTGTAAGTAACAATATATTATGGAGTCATTAGAGAGTTATTGGTGATTAGGTTAATTTCTTTGTTAAGTATTGTTATTAGCATATTATTCACATTTTAAAATAAAATATTTCTGTGTAGGCATATTTTGTAAAGGTAGTAAGAAGAAAAGAGTGCCTTCTAAAAGGAGTAGAAATTTTGAAAAATGACAGTTTAAGAGAGAAAATATTCTTCATACCAAGCATGTAACATAAAAATGCAATCATGACTCCACACTACTCTATATAGATTCCTCCTTCTAGGGTACTCTAAAAGTCTTTCTTTTCTCTCTTTCTCTCTCTCTCTCTCTCTCTCTCT